TCTCAAACTCCTGAGCTCAAGCAATCCACCTGCTTTGGCCTCCCAGAGAGCTAGGATTACAGGCATGAGCCTCTACTCCCAGCCCCAACCTCATTTCTTAAGTAACCTCCCCTTTCCACATTTTCATATATAAATGAAGTGATACCTGGACTTTAATTTCTGTCAGTTTCTTTATGTGCTTCTTGGCCAGTACCACTTTATTTTAATTACTATAACTTTGTAATAATAATTTTGAAATCTGGTAGGCTGAAGTTCTTCTCTTCCCAATTATGCCTGTTTTTCCTTTTCTTCTGATTTTCTTGGCTATTCTCTGCCTTTACTCCTGCAGATACACTTTAAAATCAACTTTTCAGATTTATTAAGTTCCCTCTAAATTCTGTTGGTATGAATTGACATGATGGTTTTGGCTTTAATGGTTTTCTTTTTGTTTTGACCAAAGTTCTATAGTCTGAATTTTCCTTTAGTGTTAGGTTTAATATTAGGGTCAGTCTGTTTCCTAACCCTAAAATTTTTTTTTTTTTTTTTACTCTTTCTTGTGTCACTGTTTTTGGGCACTTTTTAAACTTGTGTTTCTGGCATAGCGTAGCAGAGATGATCTCATCATGAACATTCAGCAGCATTAAGGTCATTTTTTAAAACTAGCATCTGAGAGCCAGACTTTTTCAGGGCTGTGTTCTTCCTCTATAGATCTGTGGTGTGTTTCTCTTTAGTCTGGAGTTGAGTTTGTAGCATGTTCTATCAGTTACATAGCTACGGTTGAGAGAATTGTTTTCCACTTAAGTGGATTCTTAAACAGAGGATAGTACTTCAGACTTTAGCAGTTGATAAGGTACACATTTTATATTAAAAAATGAGTTGCAAAAATAACAATTACAAAGTAAAACAAAAAAAATCTATTGCCCAGTTACAAGGTAGAGAAACTATATTTAATAATACCAGTTATTGGGGGGGGGATGAGTGGAGGGAGGGTGATTGGAGGGATCACTTCTATGGCTTATCTTAGAAGGATACAAGTGAATCTTTCTAAGAGTAGAATATAAATGTCTTAACACAATAACTAAGAAAATGGCATAAAGGCTATGTTAACCAGTTTGATGAAAATATTTCAAATTGTATATGAAAACACCACACTGTGCACTATGATTGCATTAATGTACACAGCTATCATTTAATAATAAAAAAAATGCCAGTTATTCAGTCATGTCTGAACAAAGGACCCGGTGTTTAAATTGACTTCAAACTCTGTGTCAGCTCTATGATCCTTGTTGGAAAAATAACAAAGGTTGCGATTTAGGCTACATTATAGGTAGTTTGGCATTGAGGTTAGGAAAGGCAATAACTGCAATCTATGCTGATCAAACAATTTATATAGTTTTTGTATCTATTTTGTGCTAAGGACAAACTAAGTGCTGGGATATAAGCAAATAATATTAACAGCAGAATTTATGGGAAGCCAGATGAGAGATAGCCAGGCCCTGGACCACGGAGGCTGAGGACAGCATATAAGGGAAAGAAGACACAGAACAGAGGCATCCGTGGTGGGACTGTGGACTTCACTCGCTATGGGACCTTGCACAATTTATTAAACCTCAATCAGTTTCAATTTCTTTCCGTGTAAGATGGAGTCAGTACTACTTCACACTGTTGTCTTAAGCTTAATGAGATTTTTATGTTTGTCTATGGGAAATCTTTGGAACAGACTGTGGTACATGATAATCATGCAGAAAATGGTATGGACTACATACATTTTGAAGCGCTAATAGGTGGTTGTGGGCTCGGGAGAGGAGGACCTTCCCAGCAGGAGAACAGCTGATTGAAATATAGGGGCTTAGCTCAGCGCCTGTGGCTCAAGTGGCTAGGGCACCAGCCACATACACCTAAGGTGGCAGTTTCGAATCCAGCCTGGGCCTGCCAAACAGCAATGACAGCTGCAACCAAAAAATAGCCAGGCATTGTAGTGGGCGCCTGTGGTCCCAGCTACTTGGGAGGCTGAGGCAGGAGACTTGCTTGAGCCTGGGAGTTAGAGGTTGCTGTGAGCTGTGATGTCACAGGACTGTACCCAGGGGGACAGCTTGAGGCTCTGTCTCAAAAAAGAAAGAAAGAAATATGGGGACTTAATCTGGTTGGAAAGCAGAGTGTATGCGGAGAGAGCAGCTGAAGATGAAGCTGGGAAGGGAAGCAGGGGTGAGCTTTTGTGCCACATTAAGGAACCTGGGAGGTATTAGGAGTCTTTGAAGGCCTTCATAGAGGAGCGTCCAGAACAGTTTAGCCAGATAAAAGATCAATTTGTTAGAGATGTGTGAAGCCGCTGGGTAAGCTATTGGAAGTAGGATATCCAGTGAGAGCAGTGGTGCTCATCCTGGGCTGCACATTGGAATTGTCTGAAAACATTTTTAAGTCCGAGCGGTGCCTGTGGTTCAAAGGAGTAGGGTGTGGCCCCATATACCGGAGGTGGCAGGTTCAAACCCAGCCCTGGCCAAAAACTGCAAGAAAAAAAAACCAAAACATTTTCATGTCCAAGTTTACCACAAAACAGTTATGTCAACAGCTCTCAAGGTGGAATCTAGGCATGGGTATTACTGATTGCTTTCCAAGTGATTCCTGTGCACAGTCAGTATTGTGAACCACTGAGTTAGAGGGTAATGGTATTCAAACCAAATATGATAAAATTCCAAATTAAATAAGTGCCAGTGGCATAAAGGAACCGGGGTAAGAAGATACCATGTGGGATATGGTGGTTGTTTGAATGAGTGATTATTTCTAGATTACTAGGTAGATGATGATAACATACCAAGGTGAGCTATTGAGCAAGACCGAGAATGTTGAAGGCACAGCAGATTAGGGTACTAGGTACTGCTGAGCGGATGTGAGAAAGATAAAGAATGTGATTTTAAAACGTGGAATTCAAGGGGGAATGATCTTTAATTCCAAATGGATAAGAGAGAAACTGAAGGAAGAAGCCAGTAGAGTAGATGGAAATTCAGGAGATAATGAATAAATGATGGGTGAGATTCCTGAGGAGGCAGAGAGCACTGAACACAGATGAAAGGAGTAATTTATATGAGCAGGAAGGACATTTCCATTCAGAGAGAAATAAGTAAAAATATGTGTGAAGGTGCAGAAAAACTCACAGGCTAAGGAGGATGAGATACAATTTGGCTTGACAGCCTGATTCCTTACTGCGGGAGAAGGGGTTCTGCTGAGAATTAAGAGGTAAGAGAAGGGCATTAAGGAATGTCGTCAAGCTTTGGAAGAGCAAGGACCCGGGCCATCTGAGGAGGGAGTCTTGAGAAGGAAATGTTTTAGTCCTGGCCTTAAATGTTGGTTGTCCCCAGGGTTTCAGTATTGGCTGTCTTGCACATACTGGTATACTTTGCTATATTTTGTTACACTGTTACCTTCTAAAAGAAATATTGTGAATTAAAGTTTGTACAGAGGAGTTATATAGTTGTTATTATAGTTTAGAAAATAATTGGTTGGCTTTTCCTTTTGAGGGGAGTTTCTTTGGTGGCACCTTCCTATGTTAATTGGAAATTTAAAGTTTTGAAATCACTTGAAAACACTGTACTGATTTCTAATTTGTTTTTGTTTCTTTATTTTTTAATTTTGTTTTCAGTTGTCTTAGTTTGAAGTTTGTGTTTTTTTAAAATTTTATTTATTTTTTATTTTTTTATTGAGACAGGGTCTCAGTTTATGGCCCTTGGTAGAGTGCTGTGGTATCACAGCTCACAGCAACCTTCAACTCTTGGGCTTAAGCGATTCTCTTGCCTTACGCTCCCAAGTAGCTAAGACTACAGGTGCCCACCACAATGCCCGGCTTTTTTTTTTTTTTTTTGGTAGAGACAGGGTCTTACTCTGGTTCAGGCTAGTCTCCATCCTCTGAACTCAGGGCAATCAATCCACCTTCCTCAGCCTTCTAGAGAGCTAGGATTACAGGTGTGAGCCACCACACCCAGCCTACTGTACATTTCTATCAGTAATTATGACATTGTGTTTTTTCTCTGATATTGTAAAACTCTAAAGAGCTACCAATTTGACATTTTGAAAATATATTTTTAGTATGAGCATCTTATACTACCGTGTTTCCCCCAAAATAAGACCTACCCCAAAAATAAGCCCTAGCAGGATTTCCATGCATTTGTTAAATATAAGCCCTACCCCAATAATAAGACCTAGTGATGCAGATATGCTGCCTAGCCATGCCATACATTTTGGCGTGAAGTAAGACATCCCCTGAAAATAAGCCCTAGTGTGTCTTCATGAGAAAAAATAAATATAAGACAGTGTCTTATTTTGGGGGAAACACGGTATAAAGAAACTTGAATGTTTATTTTTACTTCCCATGTTATACTTCACATATTATTTATTGTATGATATGTATTAAAGATCTATTTCTCAACTCTGTTTTTTTTTTGAGACAGAGTCTCACTATGTAGCCCTCAGTAGAGTGCTGTGTTGTCACAGTTCACAGCAACCTCAAATTCTTGGTGTTAAGCGATTCTCTTGCCTCAGCTTCCCAAGTAGCTGGGACTACAGGCACCTGCCACAATGCCTGGGTATTTTTTTGTTGTTGTTGCAGTTTGGCCGGGGCCGGGTTTGAACCCACCAACCTCGGTATATGGGGCCAGTGCCCTATTCACTGAGCCACAGGTGCCACCCTATTTCTCAACTCTGATATAAGCTGTGATTTGCATTTAATATATTCTCTCAATATTTTTTCTTCTAAAAGACCAATTAAAAGTTCAACAATTTTCAAATAGACTGGAACTATTTATAGATCTCCTATAACATATAAATAATATTACTTATTCAGCAGAACTGATTGTATTCACCACCTCTAAGCAGTCATTAGTATGGGTTGTCAGTAGGTCTTCTTAGTTACAATATGCTTCTAAGATAATCATAAGTCACTTCAGCATTTATGGGACTGTGGATGTACACAGCTAGAAGGTAGCCTTGACATTGGAGTGCACTAACTTAATGTTTTGATATCATTTCAGGTAACATTTCATTTGTTGCATTTCCAGTTCCCAGCACCAACTCACCAACAAAGATTTTACCAAAAACCTTAGGACCAATAAATGTGAATGTTGGACCCCAAATGGTAAGTAAATCATCAAATCTTAGAATTGAAACTGCTTGGACAAGACTAATTTTAAAGAATACTGTAGACTCATGCCTGTAGTTCAACAGCTAGGGTGCCAGACACATAACACTGGGGCTGGGGGGTTCGAACCCGGCCTTGACCTGCCAAACAACAACCAAAACCAAAAAACAGCTGGGGATTGTGGTGGGCGCCTATAGTCGCAGCTACTTGGGAGACTGAGGCAAGAAAATCGCTTAAGCCCAAGAGTTTGAGGTTGCTGTTATCTGTGACACTATGGCCCTCTACTGAGGGCGACTAGTGAGACTCTGTCTCAACAAAAAACAAAAACAAACCAAAAAAAAGAATTCTTGTAAAAAGATGTTTGATCAAATATTCCAGTTAATTTCAGTTGTCCCTCTTTTTAAAAAAGCTTAGCTTTTATCTGAACACAACTAAGCTTTTTGTTTTGTTTTTTGAGATAGAGTCTCACTTTGTTGCCCTCAATAGAACTGTGGCATCACAGCTCACAGCAAACCTCTAACTTTGGGGCTCAAGCAATTCTCTTGCTTCAGCCTCCTGAGTAGAGTAGCTGGGACTATCGGCGCTTGCTAAGACACCCAGCTGCTTTTAGAGATAAGGTCTCTGGCTCAGACTGGTCTGAAACCTGTGAGCTCAGGCAATCCACCCACGTTGGCCTCCTAGAGGGCTAGGATTATAGGCATGAGCCACTACACCCAGCCTAAACGCAACTAAGTCTTAAGAAAAAGAAAGACAACATGTTCTTTAATGTTCAATTTTCTGGGTATGTAATGTGAACATTTTTGCCATGTGAGGCTTGTATTTAGTTGTTTAAACTAATCGGAAATCTATTATGTTTTTTTCTTATAAAATAACATTTATTGCCCTCCACTATGTATAAATTGAAATCATATATATTGAAAGTATGACCCAACAGTTAATCAATATTTAGAGCTTATTAATTTAAAACCCCTTTCATTAAAGGACATTTGGGGAGAAAACAGTATACCAATTTATTTTAATCTTTGGCAGTAGAAATAATGAAAATGGAAATATTTAACTATTTCTCTAAAGACATTTATTAATTATGCTAGAGCTTGAGGAGTATGTCACTTTCAGAAAGACTTACAAACAAGATTGCGTTTGACTATTCTAAAACTATACCTAATTTAAGTGGCCTTACTTACCATCAGCAAAAATACACATTTAAACAATAACTTTTGGGTGGTGCCTGTGGCTCAGTGAGTAGGGTGTCAGCCCCATATGCCGAGGGTGGTGAGTTCGGACCCAGCCCCAGCGAAGCTGCAACAACAAAAAATTTTTTTTAAAAAATTAATTAATTAATTAATTTAAAAAAAAAACTTTTCCTTGTTAGTCTTTATATCTTCTCATCTACAGAGCAATAAGGATGAAGTTTGCCCATAATGTACAACATTGTGGATCATTTTAGGTGCAGGGTTATTTAAATAAAAATACCTTTTAATATACTTAATGGATTCAGAAAGTCTTTAAGACACGTTCTAGACATGACATTTTCTTTGGTCAGTTGAGAACTATTAATGATCTGCAGAAGTCAAGTTAAAGGTACAACGTAATTTACTGATCAAGTAAAGAATGTAAGAATGTGAAGAATGTAACCTAGTTCCAAGCCTCCTAGAGACTTAAGGTCAAATAAGTGTTCGAATATCAAGGTAGCTAAGGGTGTAGTTTCAGACATGCTGAGCATCTGCCCCTCTGCAGTCCCTGCAGGAGAGGCAATGAGATAAGGAGCCTTACTTTAAAGTCTGTGTTTTGGAATGTGATTATATATAAGCACCAAAATTAAACATCCTCGAACTTTTACGAGTGTGGTCTTTATAGCATTCCCCTATTTTGAAAGACTGTTTTCTCTTGGTATTTTAGTTACCACTACTATGGCTCAAATTTGAATTCCTCTTTTGGAAACTTAGGTAATTTTTCTTCTCGTTGTCAGTTTGGAACTGATATGTATATAATCCCTTACATAGTTCAGTTCTGACAATACTAAGTCAGTTAATGTAAATCTCAGGATCAGCATAATCAGGGGTAGAAGAAGGAAAAAGTTGAGGCTCTCTTTTTTTTTTTTTTTTTTT